GTAGGAGTAGTAGTAGTAGTAGTAGTAGTAGCAGCAGTAGCAGTAGTAGGTAGTAGTAGCAGTAGTACAGTAGTAGTAGTAGTAGCAGTAGCAGTAGCAGTAGTAGTAGTCGTAGTAGTCGTAGTAGCAGTAGCAGTAGCAGTAGTAGTAGTAGTAGTAGTAGTAGTAGTAGTGGTAGTAGGCGCTGGTGCTGGTGCTGGTGCTGGTGGTGGTGGTGGTGGTGGTGATGGTGGTGGTGGTGGTGGTGGCTGGCGCTGGTGCTGGCGCTGGTGTTGTTGTCGTCATCGTTTGCTGCTGTTGTTGTTGTTGCAACTGTTGTTGTTGCTGTTGCTGCAGCTGCCGCTGCCGCTGCCGTCGCGGTTCTCCTCGTTCGTGTTGATGTTGCTGCTGCTGTTGGTGGTGATGATGTTGTGACATCACCGGTTGGCATCATGCACAGGCGGGTGGTCACCTCGTAACTGTGTAGAACTCATTCTGGTCGTCGCTGCGACGAACACACGAAAGGCAGTAGACAAGCAACAGCAGTCAGTCTTAGACAACAATGAAGGATAGAACATTTTTATCTAGCTAACGGTGTGAGAAGAAGCAACGATGAATGATTCAACCATCACTCTTCAGCTCTAGCTCCACAAACAATTCTGCAAGACCTGGGTCAAACACAATGCCACTGCAAACGACTCAGGAGCTGCTTTCATGAAAGGTCTTGGGTTGAGGCCCAGCATCGTCGTCTCCACATGGGCATGTTCGGGTTGCAGTCCTCGAAGACGACGCCCTGAACCACGCAACATGATCTCTGCTTGTGTATCTGTATATGGGATAGCTCCATGGATATCATTAACTGTCATATACAAAATCTGAACGGATCTATGTGATGTGCAAAAAAGTGTAGATATGGCGTCATAACGCATGCGGATACTTGGAACTTCGGCCTGACAGCGGCCGTGCCTCGTAGAGGCTCGTCTCGAAAATACTCATTGCCCACATGATCGGTGACATGTAGTAGAACGGCCTCGCTCGTGGCTACCACATGACGATTTTGCATATGTGGTCGTGAACATGTGGCCATGCAACTGAGTATCCGGAAAATCCTGAGTGCTTGGCAGCCAGATTCTGGGTATCTGGTCAAAAGGAATGACATATCCTGCAGTCGCAATAAACACTGCAAAAAGCCTGCCAAGACTCGTGCACTGTGGACCCACATGACTCATCACGCATGGCGTCCTGAAAATAGCGTAGCAGGAATGATGAGCGGCATCAGAACCTTGCGTCTCCAGTCTCCACTGCTAGCCGTCTCGACAGTGGCAGTTAAGCCTGAACTGCCCTGCTGACCCGATTCTTCCTCTTTCGCTGGAAGACAAAAACGGTTCATGGTCCAACGTAGCATGTCCGACGACATGCGATCGATTGAATTTAGTTGTTGAAGGAGACAGACGAAAGTCGTGGTAGAACGCGAGGCCGGCACTGCTCGATTGCCGTCCGCGTCGCGTGTCTTGGCTCCCACCTGATGAGTGCACATGGAGCCTACAACCACTCAGAGATGCTCCTTAAATGGGTGGAGTTGCCGATGCTGTGCTGAGGACTACTGGGGACCTGGCTGCAGAGCCAGCCACACAAGCGAAAAGGAGCACCTGGGCCAAGCTATCGCACATGCAGGCTTTTCTCAAGAACATATGAGAAGATGGCAGCAACATCGAAAATGGCGCAAGCACTATCACAGACTTCGCTGTGAGCGTTGATCTGTTTTGACTGCTGAGACTTAGGACCGAACCAGGAAGGTCGTCAGCACAAACACCTCGCATTCGTGTCTGTTTAACTTCCACCTCATGAGCCTACATTTTTGTACAACGGAAGGCAGCGGTGACAACGGCTGCTTAGGACACAGTGTCTACACGGCTTGCTTGCAGCAGAGGAACACCGAAGCGGTACGCATCCAACGGTAGCCCAATGAGCCTGAAGAGCAATTCTTGACTCTCCTCTTCTCTCAAGCCGAAATTTCATGAATAGCTAAAGCATTCCCGTCGCCAACATGCGGATGAAGGCCATGTATAGGGCAACATGTTGTCCCCTGATGGATGTCCACTGTCACAGGTCTTGCTCGGAGCAGCGCAAGTACAGCGGCGTCGCCCATGCCTTCGTTCCAGCAGGAGGGGCCACAGCTTCCCAGAAACTGCTGTAGTGAACACTTTCAAGTGCTTACTGTTTTCAATCAACAATGCTCCTGATTCACCCGACAACTGGGCTGCCGTGGCCCCACAGTGCTTCACGACTTGCCAGCATCTGCACAGCACATGTGTGAGGCAGGCTCTCTGCTGCCGCCCTCGTTGCTGCTAGGTTGCGAGAGTCCATGGAACCTGCATGGCGAGAAAGCCGGTGTAGTAGGCCCTGAGACGGTGCATCGAAATGTGGAAGCCTGCGAACAACTCTGGCTGATCACACTTGCAGATGGCTTCGTGCTGAGTCTGCGGCATGTAGTATGGAAGGACCTGCGACGCAAGCCGCGTTCGTGAATATGTGCGGAATGAAACAGCATATCGCGTTGACCAAGAAGATCACTCGCATCAAAGGCATCAGAAGGTGCTGTCAGAATGCGTCGCTCTCGCCTCAAGGATGCTCACGAATGCTGAAAGAAGGAGTTTCAAAGCTCAGCTCATGCCTCACGCACAGCCTCCTGGACTTGTACTGTGCGTGTTAAACCCGGACTCAAGTTTCATCGGAGGGTTTCGGCATGTCACGTGCGGCTCGAAATTCGAAAACCGAGTGTGTTGCATATGCAAGCGCCGCTTCTGGGAACGGTCAACCTGCGCCCTCCCAGAACATGACGTGCGGGCATGTGCTTTTCAAGCGGATTCGGCATGCAAAGCTTCGCAAATTTCCGGAACGTTGGTCAAACATACGACGCCCAGTGGTTTCCACGAGAGAGCCCAGTTCAGCGCTACCGTCTTCAAATATGGTTCAGGGTATCCCCCGCATTTTTCAAAAGTTGGAACACCTGGCGGAATGCACCTTTGTGGGCTATGGGTTCATTGCTTTCAAACCATGCGCGGCAGAGCATTCCGATCACCTGGGACTTTGGGGCCCAGCTATGCCATGGTTTAAGCCTCTGGCAATCCAACGCGTCATCACCTGTAAAATTGGGAGTTAGGCTCAGAGAATTGTCAGTCCACTGTGTTTTCAGACCAACAAAAACGTTGGCATCAGGTCATGGTGTCCGCACGGTATCGCCGCTCATTCATAACATGGCTAGCCCACTGCTGGACACTGTCCAATCTCAGTGGGGATGCCTTCGGCCAGGTGCAAACTAACGAAGGTCATCACGAAAAGACACATCGAATACGAGGAGCGGGTGCCCGTAAAGCTGGACCAACTTTGTACAAGTTCCTTCGTAGCCATGAGCATCAGGGGTCATGCCGTGCTCCCGTGAAAACTTGAACAAGAGCAAGGTCGACCATCTGACTTCGTCTCCCATCATGGGAGCGCTCTGAGTTGAAAGCCCGTATGCCCGAGAATAGCAACATAATTTGTAGAACAAAAACTTTACAAGACGAGGTTCACGTCGTCGAATGATACCACAACATGCTGAGGCAGCTCGAATTTCCCCAATCTCGCTTGGGCCTTTACCAGCTTTGATAGGCACTGCGATGAACGGTACCCCCTGATCGCCCCAGGTTATTGAAACCTGCTGCCAAAGCCTGGGGGCTTCACAACATGGCAAATGGTGGAAACAGTCACTCATGTCAGCGGGTTCAGTCCAATGCATGAAGCTATCAGTGTATCTATCCGACAATGCCTTGTTGAAAAGTTGGCTCAAAACGATAACTTCTTGTACAGATCTGCAATGGCTGCACAGATTGTGCGGGAGCTCATCAAGAGCAGCATCGATACAGCAGCAAGTGCTGGAGTGCAGAGTGTTTCGTGGCGTCTTGCTGTTGTCAATGATACGGCTGATAAGGCACCACTTCAGACCAGGTGCTTTCCGCTTGGGAAGCAAGCGCAGAATTCCGGCTTCCCACTCGGATTTACGGGCATGGCACAGCTGAGACGGTTGAAGTGGGCTGCGAAGCTGTGGTATGTGGGTCATGTCGCTGGTGAACCGCCCTGTCGTTGGGAAGGGTGTCCATAAACCGTCCAGGTGAAATCTGTGGGCTTCGGTGATGTTCAGATGTCGAGCATCTTCCTGGCGAAGTGCCTCACCAGCATAGGGCAAAATGCTCCGAGGCTGGTGGTGTTCCGAGGCTGGTGGTATTGTGGTCAAACTATTGGACATAGAAGCCGTCAAGGAAGCGCCTTGAAGAGCAAGTATCTTGCGAGGAGATGGGGAAACCTTGGGCGGTGTCTCCCATGGCTTCCAGCAGTTGATATCCCGTGCTAGGCGATGTCTTCCAATGCCAGGTCATAGGACTTGATGCGCAGGAACGGAGATTGTCCCGGAGGGATGCAAGAATCTGGGTACGGGTCCGGGGGAGTGTCATGGATGCTGGTTGTGTGGCGAGGTTAAGGGCATGCGGTCATGGCATCAACGCTTGGGGAGTTGTGACGTGGAAATTGCCCTCAAGGACAACGCCGCTCCATCGCGCCGCTTGCCTGGATAGGCAATCGCACGTGCTGGCATGTCAGTGTGCATGATGCAATGGTTGGCAGTGTGTCCGCAGTGTAAAGGCACTGGGTCAAAGATGCGGTTCGTTTCCAGTGGAACTCCAAACGAGCATGTCTCAAGACAGGCACTGGCGTCCCCTGGGGTCTCCAATGGCGTAGCAAGGTCAGAACAATCTGGCGTGTCCGTGAGGCACCGGATAACGGTAACTGGAAAAACCAAATCCCGCCGTACACAGCTGATTGTTGGCAAGATGGCCAAACCGCGTTTGCAGCGGGAGCCTTCCTCGCAATTGCTGCTGCGATGTGCTACGTACTATCATGAGCTGGGTGACAGACGCCACGCTGCTAATGTGCACTGTTGGTAACCGGCAAACTGATGGCCTGAAAGCGCGGATGCATATTCTGTAGGCCAGATTTCCATGCTTGGTGGTCCCGTCGTGTGTGTCGTGGCTTGGGCCAGGTCGCACCCGTACTTGGCCTAAGGCGCTTGAAACCAATGCGTTCAAAGATCCTTGCCCACCGTACCTTTCGGCATTTCTGCCGGTTTCCAGTGAACGAGCTGTACACTTTTGGTGGGTTTAAGGTGCCAAGTTTCTGGATCATATCCTTTTCGGTGGCTTTGCACACACACACACGGGGGATGGCTAATTGGGTGCTGACTGCGAGCATGCAAAACCGCTGGCTACTGAGTCTAACGTTTCTTTGGACGAATCATCTTTTCCCGTGCAAGCGCTCGGCTGACCGAAGCTGGATGGCTTGGAGCTTGAAAGCTTGTCGTACTAGAATACTGGCGGATGTACTCTGACTTGACGATGCAACGATAAGGGATGTTGACGGGATGCTCTGAATCATCCAAGCTTGCACATGGCTATTCGGATGTGTCTTCAACGCCGGCCTGGTAGACTCCATCGTAGTACTCACCTCAGCGAGCTATCAAAACGTGTCACGTGTCAATTCTGAAAGGTGTGCCAAGACATGCCATGAGATGTCGCGGTGCATCTCCGCTCCTTGAGCCAAGGCTCGCTTGAGAAGTCCTTTGGTCTGCTGGAAAGTTGCCGCACCTTTCGGTCGAGCATGTCTGCTGAGTCATATGAGGAAGTTAGCCTGATTGCGAAGTCTTAGCTCGGCAAGCGAGATTAGAGGCATGGATCTACCATAACCATCCCTGCCCAAACACTCAACCGAAAAACCGGACGGCACCCAGCGGCCTGCGTAGAAGGACTCAATCAAAGGGTTCTGCCTTAGAGCGGGTGCGCGAAATCATGCGGACCACTATATCCTCGCCACTCGAGCATGCCTGAAGTGTGTCATGTGCTCCCGCAACTCGTTGAGGAATGGTTCTGACTCAGTTCTGACGATACATTGTACGTTGAAGGATGATATGAAAGGTTTATGTTTGCAAGCGACCCATGGCTGCAAGAGGACTTCCCTTGCCCACTGATGCTGTAGATCCTTTTGCTCTCGCTCGCTGCCACAAACCAACGCCTGAGTTCGCACTTCCCTCGCTCGCAGCTCACCTTGGCTTCTGCATTTGTCATGCGAGGAAATTCGCCTCCATTACCAGCGGTTATCGTCTCAAACGACAGCACAACAATTTCGAGCATGGAAAGGCAGTTCCGTTTGCTTCCTCTCTCATGGTCGCATGGACCCGAGTGCGACATCTAGTAAGAATGAACCACGGTCATAGGGCTCCCCCCTGCAACATTGTGGTTCTCGCCTCTCCCCCACCTGTCGCAGCAGGTGCTCGTATCTTCGATAATTACGAAAGCCCTTCGACACTTGCAGAAATCGATGCTATCCTCGTGGAAATCATTGAAGTCATGTGTTTCGGCAAACGAGCGTGTTTAACAGAGCGGTCACCATCGCACACCAGCGTAAGGCTACGCAGAAGTGCATGTCAGCGTGGATTCCGAGCGCCCTCGTCAAAGCCACGAGGCGTGTGGCTGGATGCTCGCTTCCTCGGATCATCTCTGAACCTGAACCGAGGATGAACACAATAGGAAGCTGGAGCTGGAGCTCCTGGTATCGGCCGGAGAAGATACAGAAGCTTCTCGAAAGCCAGGAGACAACGTAGCGCCCTCTGAAGCCAGCGATGCGAGCCAGCAATCTTGCCTGCCGGCATCGCTTGCATCCCTGAGCCGCCTCTGCCCTATCCCCAAAACCTCAGCCTTCAGCCCTTGAGCCTCAGGGCCTCGGTAGTCTTCCAAAGCTGCAGCAGCCTCGTACGCCAAGAGCCGGCTGCTCTGATCATGCAAACCTTCTTCGTCCTTAGGGGGCTTCAGGCTGCGGCTTAGGGCTTGAATCAGTAACAGCAGCGTTCTCCTTCTGATGACCGGTACGTAGGGTTGAGCACGCGAGCAGAGGAAAAGCCACAGCAACATGAGTCCCCGCGTCATAGAGATCCAGCAGCCGCCTCACCCGTCGCAGCAAAGTGCTTGTCGAAACCTCGCAGGGCATTGCCACCAGATTCAGCAAGAAAGCAGTGGATCGTGGAAGCTCCTCCTCCTGGCCCGGCTCCACGTGGTCCAGAACATCGGAGAGACAAGCCATTTCACTGCGCCTGAGCCCGGCGAGAGCTCAACCGAAGCCTAAGGAGTGGTGCACCATGCCCCTGTTGACTGACACAGCAAAGTCTAACCGAGGAACCGGGAGTCACTGTCGTCATCAGCACCACGAGCACATACCTGTCTTTAGGACATGATAGTTTGTGCACCTGCGACTTTGGAAGCAGAGGCACTCAAGTACTCACCAGACTCTGACCTGTGCAAATTCATCCCTACCTCGCAGGCACAGTCAAATCCGAACATCTTCTTCAGCAAATACTGGCGATAGCCTGGGCTTGCTAAACTTAGAGCATGTCATAGCTGCCGTGTATGGGGCCATGTAATGTTGTTGCCCTTCCCCCCTTTCCCCGCTCCCAGTCACCCCCAACCACCCACCCGGGTTTTTGCTTTTGGTAGGGGTCACCTCCGTTTCCCGCCCTCCGCAGTTCCTCCCTCCCTTGATGGTTCTCTTGTGAAGCTGTTTTTTACTTCTCATGTCCGCATATTATCCCTCAAACCGCTGCGGACACGGTACCCAAGGCGGCACTCGCACTGGCGGTTAAATTAATTGCATGCCCAGCATCTCATCGCACCTCGGATGTCGATGTAGCGGACCTGGCTGCTTCATGGCGCTTTTCCATGTAGCCAGGTTCGTGCTAAGCATGCACGTGCTGAGCTAGCTTTCCGGCACGTTGCCTGGATCATGAGCTCAACTAAGTCGTCATAAATCAAGAGCGGCAAGAACAGCAGCTAATTGAACAATGAGTTATCCGGGATACCTACACGCAACCGGGAATGTCCGGTCAGCGATGTCTGCGAGACAAGCTACGACAGTCTTCTGTCGCGAGTGGTTGCATTGGGATGGCACAGCAAAACATCAGATTTTCAACGTTCATCCGAGTCGCACACAGCTCCTGCCCTGCTTGGATGTATGTGCATGAACGCACTTCCATGCGGAGGGTCTCCTGCAGGAAGGTAGGGCAGAGCGTTGGGGCAGCCTACGCAGAATCGCGCCCGCGTCAGGACTGCGCCGAATTCGCAGGTCGCAAAAACAACCTACAAGTAGCAAAACTGCCTGATCGAGACTCCAAAAACAAGGGACGTGGCAATTCACATCCAGGGAGAAGTTGTTAAGGGAATGTTGGGTTCTCAATGCGGCGGCAGCCTGCCTGGTTCCAGATCTGCTCGCAATTCGCATTGCAAGAGTGGTTGAAACGACTTGCCGTTTCGCACCTTGCAAAGGATAGACAGGCACGTACGAAAGCTCGCAGGTGCCTTCATCATGCATCAGCCATCACTCGAAACACAAACAACCCACATGCAGCCATGCCGAGTCACAGAAGGACATCATCAGATTCATCTGCAGAGAAGAGGTTGGTCCTGTGCGGAGCGTCAGCGTTCAACACAACTCCGTTGCTTGTTTGGGCCAGGTCGGGACCTGAGGATTCCGAGCAAAGTCTTCGGGCCCTCGGAGAAGGTGTCCGCCAAAGAGAAGATCCGCCGTTGGAGATCTTCTTTTGACCTGCCAGAGTGGTCGCTACACAAGTTGGGTCATGGTACTGGTCATCGCTCATTTATTGCCAAAACCTCACAGAAACAAACACGACGGCACCAGTAGAGGTAACTTCACATTGCGCCAATCGTGTCTTGGTCTAGACATCATGTGGTAAAACGTTCTGAATCTCCTAGTATAACCTATTAAATTACATCACGAGGACACTGGCCGGTGCCTCTGGAACTGCTCTTTGGCATCATCGTACCAAGAAGAGTCGTGCCCGTTCACCGTCAGTCTCATGAGTGGCTTCTCGCACCTCGGAGCACCGCAACAACTATACTGGTGGGTTCAAAACGTGCACTAGCCATTCCAACCCCCACACCGCCTCTGCACCACCTCCATCCCTCTTTCTCTGCTCTTTGAAAATTTCCTTTGAGCCGGCAAGCTTTCCAGGCCTTTTCGGGATCCTGCTTGACGGCTTGCTCTTTTTTCTCACAGCTTGTTTGTGCAGACCTCCGCCGGCGTCGGGTTGGAATTTTGGAGTTTGGCAGTTTGGGCCGAGTTCGACCCGTCTTGGAACGGCCTGGAGACTGAGGAAACACAAGGAAAGCGCACTAAATCTAGGAAAAGCTATACAACCCTGAGAAACCCTTATCGAAAGCAATGCTTTGTTTTGTAACCATTTTGGCTATAGTTTAACATGTCCCGAAGCTGTTTGCCAGGCTGACATACCCAGCGATCAGATTATCCAGCCACCTCTGTGTTTATCTGTCGCTGCGAATCTGCACGCTGGTGACCGGAACCGGGTTACAACAAGCAGTATTAAGCAGTATGCCACGAGGCTCTACAGTGCTCTCTCTAGTTCCTTTGCCATGTTTAATATCGGTGCCATTGCCAGCTCTAGCGTGTGACACGGCTTAGCATGTTGGTGTTCCTATCTTGTCGGTGTGGTCCCTGGGCCGCGTTTAGTATTTGGCATGGTTGCTGCTAGGGCTGTTACTGTAGGACACAGCATGTGTCTTAAGTTTCGTTGCTCTGCTGACACCATTGTCAGCCATGACATCAGCGTCGTATCGTCATCACCACAGCAACCATGCACTGCCGATGTGCTGCCGCAGATCGCAGAGTGCTTGGTAGTTAATACTCTGCGATCACGATGCCGATATTCGGAACAGCAGCCGCGCGATCGTGATGATTGGAGCCGTGGCGCTGAATGAGTTCGCTGTGCTTCGAGTTCAAAGGTGTGGTGGAGTGTTTTTCGCAGTGATGACGACAAATGTGATGACTATGTCTGAGATCAAGCGGCCATTGGCCGTCGTTGCGATAGCTACAATTGCCAGCAGCAAGTTTCTGATCGTCTCGCAATGCTCAGTCGGGCACGAGAGAACCTCCCCAGGACGAATGTCCTGCCGCACTGATGCTGCTGAGACTTCGCAAAACTCGCCATGCATAAATATCTTGCCCTGACTCGTCCTATGCACATCCTACATGTTTCTGATTCCTGTTGCAGGATCTGGACCGCCGGAAAGCCCTTTCGATGTCCTGTGCGGCTAGGACGCCTTGGCCCTTGGTCCCGCAGTCCACGACCTCTGCCGCCGGTCGAAGGCCGCGACGGAGAATGAGGCTCCTGTCCAGAACACTACCACCATGCCCTGGTGGTTGACGTGGCATGCACAAACTAACTCTGGTGTGATTAGACCGCACTCTCTCTGTTGCTTGCATGTCTGCCACGCTCAGGCAGATGCCCTGCTAGCTTGTGGTCCTTGTCTTGCGAAGGCCGCTGATGCTTAACGAAGCACAAGCGCCACCACAGCTGACCGCGCAGCGCTGCAAAACACAGCGGTCTTTGGGATGTGAAGCTGGGATGATTCCGCTCGTGGGTGCAGCCACCCGCGCAGAAAGGCCCGGCAGTAGGTGCGTGGATGCCATGGACACTGCAGAAACATGAATTCTCAAGATCTACGCTGCCCGCACATAAACCCAGCAACCTATGCTCTTCCGTTCGTTTGTGACGCAGGATGACTATCGGGTACCAGATGTGATGTAGCTTCCCGAAGGGCATACTGGAGACTGGGCAGCAGTTCGTAGCCTCTCCAAGCATGACAGCTGTGGCGGCATCGCTTCACTCACAGCTGTCAGGAGCTATGGCTTGGATTCTTGGTACCCGACGCGCAGAGGAACATCACGCCCTTGATAGGGAAGATGTTCTTCTGGGTGAATTCCTGCTGAGCATTCATGCGTGTTGAACTATGTGTGCTGAACTTATAACATCCAATTCAATGCTGTTCAATGTCAAGCCTGTATCTTGCAAGTCCCAGACGGCTGTGAGCAACAAAGACATTGACTTAAAGTTTTCATGATGCATCAGGATCCAACACACATCCTGCAGTGTTCGGAAAAGGATCTGGAGCAGTACGGCTCTTGATGCTTGAAACTTGATGCTGCTACACTCTATCGGTCCGAGACCCCTCCAGGCTGGGTGCCCGCACCGCTCCCATCTGGTAGAAGATGCAGCCGATCATGATAGATGGAGGCACACGAGACATGATCTCGGCAGCGAACTGGAGAATTTTCACTGAAAGTTTAAGCTACATGCGTGCTTGGCTTAGCACTCATGCACATGGAGCCAGCCCGGTCACACGAGAGCTAGCAGCTAGCAAACGACTGCCGAGATGTGGACTCCGCGGAAGAACCTCAAGTTCACAAGTCTGAAGGCCAGGAGACTTTCGATGCAGCTGGCTCAAGACCAGAAACAGGCGAGATGATGCTTTGGCACGAAGCACAGTGGCTCGAATTCAAGCTGTCTTCTCAGGAGCCTGTCCGACCTCTTCCCACGGCGGAGTGGCGTCAAACTGAGCAACGAGCTTCTTCTTGTTTTTGAAGTTTTCCAGTAGTGTGCGTCTGGTCCTAAGTCCAAGCAATAGGCTCGAGATAAAGCAAGGCGTGGGAGCGAGGATCGATCGCAAAACTCTGCCGCTGACTGTAAAAAGGCCCCTGCAGAATGCACGTTTGCTGCCACATGCTCGGCATATCGGCAGCCTCGGTTCTTCGTTGTGTCTGCCGATGTACAGCGCTAGTCGTACTCTGGCAGGAAGGAAGCTGTGCTAGCTGCACTAGGGTGGCCGCAGGTCATTCGGGCACTGTCGGATATGAAGATGCACGAGACAAGAGCTTGAGCTGCGGGCCTTCCCTGGCAAGCTGTCTGTTGCGGAAATTGGCTTCTGCGCCGGGGCTGCCTCTTCGATTCGTGTCGAACAAATGGGGCTATGGATTCATGATTTGTGCAGGTACATACTGGCTCGAAGTCGATGGACTGTGCGCCAAAGCAGTCGCTCATGGCATCAAGATTCCCGACGGAAAGGCACCTTCTGCCAGGTCTCGATCCACTTGCTGCTCTCATCCTCCAAAGCATCGAAATGCTGCTCCAATGGCTGCGACAAGCGCAGCAGTCCAGTTGTGAAGGCTTCAAGCATCATGGCGCTGCACACACACACACACACACACACCTTTCAGGGTTGCTGTGGAGTTAGCTCTTATCTCGTCAAGCGCCACATAAAAAACAAACCTCGGCAGTAGCATCCCACTGGCCTGTACAATTTGCACGAAGTGATGCGCTGGATTTGTCTTCTCGGGCCTTGGTCGATGTCTGCGCTGGTAGGAACTAGTTGAAGGTGCGGAGGGTGAGCTCGAGAATCGGCACTTCGCTCTGGGGGACCGACGTCGGAGCCCCGTGCTTCGCGAAATACGCCTCCGCCTTCGCTACCTGGTAAGGATTCCCCGGGAGCCCTATGCTGCTCTTGCTCACCTCTGCTTCACGGAAACATGAAATGAAGACAGGCTTCGAGAAGGACAAGCTCCGATTCCAAAAGACCGCACGGCCACGGCTTGCCTCGCCACTGTAGACCACGACCCCAACCTGCAGAGCACAGAATCGAAAGACCTGCATCTTCGGCCAGCGATGGTCTGGCGCAGACGATACATGGACCTAGCACTGCAACCGACACCAAGTTGAAAGCTCGCCTCAAGAAGCAGCAGGTAGTCGAACTCGCTGAAGATCGCATACGACGGTCTGGTCAGTCGGCGCGGACTTTTACACAAAGGGTCACAAGGACGACATGCCATGTTTGAACAGTTTCAAGAAAATAGAAAAGCAGGTGTTAGTTACACACAACACTGATAAAGAAGGGCGAAGGACGAGCAAGTCAGCATGGGACAAACACCTTAGGCCTGAATTCCGGGTATCTTGGCTCGCTGCTGATGGATGGCAGCCAACACCGTCACTCCGCGGCCTTGGTGGCTTCCGGCCACAGCGAAGCGCCGGATGATGATGACGATAATGATACTTCATAGGTCATAGATGCAGACACAAACCTAGCTTTCACTTTGCTGTCGTCAGCGACGTACAATTCGGTCAGAGCTCACTCCACATATCTCCATAGGTGCGCTTTGTGCAGACGTTACGCCAAACGCAATAAACGGGGTTGCTCGACTCCCGACCAAGAACAACGTCCCCGCCGGCCACGACAATGCTGAAGAAGGGTCTTAGATCGCATCAGTATCTTCGAAACCCTACGAGTGTCTTACAATCTCTGTTGCCATACGGTCGAGCTTTATATTAAGAAATCTTATTGAACAAGAAATGAGACTCTGGAAACGCGCGCGTTTTGATCTTTGCGCGGGCTGAAAACTCCAAAATGAGCGCGTTTGAACTGTGCCAGGCTCGGGGAAGGGCTTGGGTGCTGGGAAAGTTCAAACGCGCGCGTTTTGAGCTTTTCGCGGGCTGAAAACTCCAAAATGAGCGCGTTTGAACTTTGCCA